TGATATGTACGGAATTTATTGAATACAACAGATAGAACTATTTGTTTAGTTAGGTTGTGCAGAGAGTTGATAAATTGATTTTTATAATGATCGCTTTTATGTTGCAAAATGATACTGTCGTTGATAGTATCTTTTTTATAGTTCTAGAGGCCGATAACAATTTTTACAGAGAAATATTTTAAATAAATATATAAAACGCTTGAAAAGGTCCTGACAAAAGTTTTTCTAACTTAAATAAATCTCGATTTCCAAAAAATTCCTGCAAAAACATTTTTTCATCAGTATAATTCATTGAAAATACAACAATACTCTGTTATAGCGTCGATAGGAATATTACTCATATTTTTTAATTAATTTTTTCAAGTTAATTTGATGATATTCTTCTCCTGAATATTGGTAAATCTATTAGACTTTCACGCCAATTAAAACGCAACGAAATATAAAACAAGTCTGAAAAAGCGCTTTCCAAAAATGATATATCCTCTTCATATATAGAGATACTCCAAATAGATTGAGCTACAGCAAGTGTAAATTATTAGACGACGATTTTAACAAATAAATTCAGTTTATTTAACGGAATTTTGAGGCAAGTGTAAATCTCGCATGACAGTAAATATATCATGAATTTCCAAACATCATCAAAGTCAATATTATTTCATTCGAATTTTATGAATAACTTAATACTGCATTTCATAACATAACCGCTACGAACAAAATCACAAGAAAATTGCAATTTGTAAACTATGTTGAAAATCCTGTTATAATAATTAATGAGCAATTTCTATTCTTTTAAAATGATCATGAATTTGAGTTGATCAAATGCATTAGAGACATAAATTCAATATATACGTTGTTGTATACAGAAGGTAGAGAATACGTACATACTACAACCCGCTAGTTAAATAGAATAATCAGTTGTCTACACTATAGTTTTCGACCCGCTCTACCAGCGACATTTACCGAATCGCTAAACGTAAAGGTTAGCTAGCTTGATTCCTGTAAGCGGAGCCTGTAATATGATTCTTGAAAGCTACACTGATTTTTCGTGCATGATCCAATAAAACCAACAGGCAAATTAAAAACGAAGCGTACCATGTAAATGTGTTCGCTGAAAAGCTGACATTGTTGAATTTGTTTTCTCTTTTTTGTTAGATATTTGTATCCCAAAAAGATTCATTTTATCAAAAAATTGAGCAAGTTATATTTCTTGATATTATGAAATGATAAACGTATGCTTAATCTTTAATTGAAAAATAGAAAAAATTGTTTGAATTATTTTTAATGATGTAACTAAAATTGATTCATCTTTAAAATAGTTATCCGAAATCAATGTTCGTACACTTATCCAAATCCAACAAATACAAATTCAAAGTAAATTATTGTTTTTTTAATTCTCGTAAATAAAATACAATCTAATAACGATTGATAATTAAATAATATACATCCTGTAAATTCCAAATGAATGAAGAATACAGTAAAGTCGTACGTTCACCGGTCCATTATTGGAATGGTAGAAATTTGTATAGACAATCCACATATAGGCAGACGAGAGCTCTAAACTCAGTGGATAAATTCGTCGGGAGAGGTTTAATACGAAATGAACGTAGCCAATCAGCAGTGGTACTGTCGATCAATCATCGACAGGCGTGCGGTTGCTAATTAAAAGCGGAATCCTGACTGCTCGCTAGCTCGCGCATCATGAAGTGCATTCGCGCACTTTAGTTAGAGAAGGGCCAAAATTTGTGCATAGCGCCTCTCTCTTCCCTACAATTTCGATAGCCCACGCATGCTCCCTCTCACTCTGTAATTTGATCAATTAACGCTGGCCTTGTATTAGTACCGCGACCATATACACCAGCAGTGAAATGTTGGACTCCACAGGGAGAAAAAAAGCTCTCTCTTCTCTCTTTCTTTCTCTCTGTACAAGGGGGTTGAAGATGATTCGCAGGTCAACAAAGAGAAAGGGGAGCTGAATGATTAATGTTTTTTTTCAGAGTACGCGGAAAGAATTCGTTAGCTATGATATATATTCGTTTGTTTGTAGTTCGTTCGACTGCAATTAGTCATCTTTTTGGCGTAGGGCGCTCATAAATCTTGTTATATCTGTTTAAGGAATTCAGATCGCCAAGGCAGTGCGCGCATCGCTTGTCTGATATTCCACGATTCGTACTATCCCATGCCCACCGGGAATGCTATGAAAGTCAATGAAAGTCGACGTAGTAATTGATAATATAACGTGCATAATTTGTCTTTGGAAACAACAACGTGGTATTTATACACTTTGGGGATTCGCGATTCAACAGCTGTGTAACAATGATGCGACTAACTGCACAAGACTGAGCGTATATTTCACTGTCCCCCTCTTCTTCCTAAGATGCCTGAAAGCGTTAGGCGTTTTAATCTGATTATACGCGAACTCTGAGGACTCGGTTTGTTGTCGAGTGGTTTCGATTACATGGCTCATAAATCTATAGTTATAGGTCTTAGCCGCTACCATTAGAAACTTTCTGTAAGCTCCCGCGAAATATACAATCCGCTGTGTGCTGGAACCACCACGCATTGTGTGACAATGAAATAATGTCTTTGACAAGGCATAGAAAATGCGAGGAAAGAACCTCTCATTCAGAAAAATAGCGATGCGTCCTCGGCAGACGACGACGGTAACAAAATCGCATTAATTCTTAGCGTGACAACGTGCGAAATTTTCCGCCAAACGCTGTCTCGCTAGCGAGAAATATAAACACACAGCGGACGCAACAACTCTCTCCATAAGAATATATGGCCGAGAGTCACTTACTTGCTTTCGGTGAGCACTTACAGCCATCGATTTTCGATCGAAGCCTGTCGAGGCGCGAAAGAAAACCGTTCCCTTCAGATTTACACGGAGGAGGGAGAGACCGCGTTCGCGATAATGCAGCCGCTAATACATCGCAAACGACGATTTGAGTTCTCGCACGAGCAATAGATAAGGCGGCAAGCTCTTCCAAGGGAATTCATTTTACGTATATACTTTTCGCGCGTATTTGTCTGCTGTTGGCGATAGTAGGGTGGTGGCGAGAACTAGGAATATCGATATACATTTGATATTGCCGCTAGAGAGAAATCATTCAATTGAAAAGTACTTTAAAGGAGCACCCGATTTATTCCCATCGGAAACGCATTTAACAACCGTGAGTGAGAGAGAGAGAGAGAGAGAGAGAGAGAGAGAGAGAGAGAGAGAGAGAGAGAGGAAAGAATTTGCCAAGAAATGTTTGTACTTATTGATGGTGCCCTTGGGACGTATTAGCTTGCATGAATAGTTCGAGCTTGTCATGTTACTTTAAACCGTTACATAAATAATACTCAACCGCTTAAATCTACTAGTTATAAATTATGTGTTTGAAATCTATTTGTATTAAAAGCTTGTTTAGTTTAAAAATCCATAATAGAACTTGAATAACGAGCCTAAAAACGATCAGTAACAACCCTCATTTCGTCACTATGCATTGTGAAATACAGTGGGCAAACATTGTATAGTCTGAAAATAATTATGCTCTTCTCAAATTCTTTCTTTATAAAATATCAAAGGAAAATAAATAATGGAATAATAATAATAGTAATGATAATAATAGTAATAATAATATTAATAATAATGTTAGTAAATAATAATGTTTTCTTGATTTATAATATCATTTTATATTATATTAAAACATACATCGGGTTATTTTTGACTCAAACGGAGTATCGATGCACATTTTTTGATTAATAATCTTATAAAACACAATTCTTTACATCATTATTTGTTTGATTTATTTTTATCTTAATAGTAAATGAAAATTGTAGTAATCGAGTCATTAATCTATGATCTATCAACAAACGTATTTTAATTTCAATTTTGAATTTAAAGTCAGTTTCAAATTTAATTTCAAATAGCTTTCATAATTATATATTTTTAATTAAAAAAGTGAATGACATCACTTTGGCTGAGTTTCAAACTATATTTATATTGTTTAAGTTTGAAAGTCCATTCAATTATAACATGGCAATTTATCAATATTTAACAATCATTTGATGAAAATGTAAATCAGTAATTACTGAAAACTGCAAACCGTTAATCTTTATTTTATTTATTTCTATTCCTCTGTTTCATCTACGCTAAAGCATAATCAAACTGGCTATTAACAATGAAACCCTTGGCTACTTCTCCAGCATTTCATCAGCGAAATGACTTTAAATAACATTTAACCGTAACGCGCTTAGCGCTTTAGCGCGCAAGTGCAGGTGCAGATTAGAACAAACGGCGTGAAGGCGAAGGTGACAAGTGCGTGCAGAAGATGGAGAAAGGCTGGGCGAAGAGGAAAGCAAGAGAAGCGCGTTAATTAACTGCTCGTCCCGATGCCGTCACAGACATTCGAGCTTGACTTAACTCCTCCAAACCGCCAAGCAATTCGTTTCTCGTCGACGCCTCGTTGTTGCTTTACGAAGATTCATTTTTTCTTTTTTCATGCACTGAGCCATTGCGATTATGGTTTCATCGAAAATTATATTAAAGTTTACTGCTACGATAAAAAAGTGTCGGTGGTGCTGAATAGAAAGAAAAAAACCCAAAAAATTTTCTGACTATAACATATTCAACTATTGCAAACACCAAATCAAATGAATTTGTTATTTTTGTTTTAATGGCATAAATAATTTGATAATTTTAATATGAGAGAAATCAATACCTGTATAGAATACATTAACTGAACTGTGTTCTGTAGGGTAAGTTTATTTTTTACAGTCCATTTTAAAAAAATGCTTCTTGTATTTTATAAAGTGCAATACGTAATATAATATTATTTTATGACAACAAAATAAAAAATCAAATATATTAAATAATATAAAATAAATTAATGTTTCTTTCAATCAAGCCGTGATCAACTTATTTTCATATATTGAAGCATTTCAAGCCATAGAAAGAATCATGTATTTACTAGAACGTACTTTATTAATTACTACGTCGTAATATTCATCATTAACAAGATTGCTTGCTATATTGTGATATGTATACAGATTTACCGCTATATCACAATTTGTTACAAATATCAAATTTTGTTAGAAGCTTACACTTTTAATAACAACCTCGATTAAACTATATACTTATATGTAAAATATTTTTTATCATCAATAAGTTTATTTTATTTTGTAAATCCGTCACAGTTGCAAATCTTAGAAATGAAAATTATAATGAAAGAAAACGAATATTTTTTGAAATAAAATACTTTTTCCGATTTATAAATACAATAGACTAGACAACGATAATAAAAGTATAATTCAAATAGATACTATCACTTATAAATACCAAGTGCCGAAACCTGTTGATCGATCCACTGTCTATTCTGCGCTACACTTGCATAAACTCCAGGCGCTGCAGAGCCACATCCGATACCCCAAGAGACAATTCCAGCCTGATGTCCATAAAATAACATAAATATACAACAACAAAAATCAAAAGTCGTATATTAATGAATAATAAAAATCAAGTGGACCTGCGTGAATCGTCCCGTTGGATCCTGACAAACAAGTGGACCTCCGCCATCTTTGGTACAGGTATCCATATTCGGCTGCCCACCAGCGCATATGAAGCTCGAATGTAACTGGAAAAACTGACCCAACCTTGTTGCTCTCAACCGAGTTTGACAGCTACCGTTGTCAACGATAGGTAGAGTAACTTTTCGTAATATTGATTGATATTGTCCTTGTGCTCCTATAGAAGGATGAAATAGATGATTGATAAACTTTTTTCATTCGTTACATAATGTTAAAAAATAAACGAAGTCCTTTGCAATCTTTCAATCACAAAATTGTACTATTTACAGAAAAAAGTATATCATACCGAATGCATTGCTTCCCCAGCCAGAAGCATAGCATATGGTATTTGCAGCAAACTGCTGATCTTGTACAGCTAAACAAATTGGTTTAACATTGACTGTATATGTTGCTGCACGGTTCAGCACAAGAAGTGCAACGTCGTGATAGAGACCGTTCTGATAAAACTGGGGATGAACAGTGACAGTTTGAACACCGATTTCTTGGAACGGTAAAGGTTCAGTCACTGTTGCTGTGTCCCATTCGCCTAATCGAGCAATTAGTGTTCCCGGATCACAGCTGAATTTCAACATTTATATATTATTTTTTTAATTATAAACAATTAGATTTACACGTAACTTACCTAATGATGCAGTGCGCAGCTGTCATGACAACTCTGTTGTTGATGAGTGAACCTCCACATTGGACCACATCGTTGATACCAGCACGACGAATCAAAATGAGCACCATCCATGGAAATTCGGCGAAATATGCTGATCCGGCTACATTGACAATTTCCATCAATGCATAGTTCAATTTAGTTAATAAGAGAATATTATACACTTACGTGAAGGGCTCACGACATTAACATAAGTTGTATCCCTAAGACCACAATTAGCGACATTTGCTCGACTACTAGTAGAACCAGTGATTATAGAAGCTGAGGGATTTAGATCAATGACTCCAACTTCACTTCTTAAAAGCTTATTACTGTCCACTTTGCAGCAGACAAGAACTGGACTCATACATGGTCCGATTCTAGGATCAATGGTGCCGTCACTGTCGTAACTAATAGTATCACTATCAGGACAGTTATCTACAGGTACGCATTTGCAAGCATTTGGAGTACCTATAATACATCCAATTTTCAATAAAAATTATCCAATGTAATAATTACTAATATTTAATTACCAGGATTTTTAACGTCTTCATTTTCAAACTTCACAAGCGAGTTGGGTTGAACAGAAAGTTCTTGTTGACCTAGCCTACAACATACTGAATTGGTTTTAGAACACGATTGACCTTGGTGAGGTACAAGCATACGAGGATCAATTTTGTTCACATCTGACCACGGCATGTAACCAAGACTACACGCTGCCGATAATACGCAGAGACAATTCAGTTGCAAATTCAGTGCTGGTAACATGGACATTGTCGATACTGTGGTCGTTGGCAGCGTTATTGGTAGGGTGAATGGAGGCAAAGTCGTAGCTGGAGTTTGAGATCCTATATGACATAATCATTTTGATATTAATAAACTTTTTTACCAATAAGTCATCGATTACTGTGATACATACCGATATTATTGCAACACACAAAAATCCCATTGCAAGTGCTAGTCAACTGTTGTCTTGGATCAATATTGTTCGGTACACCAGTAACTACATTACCACTGTTGACGGCACATTGAAATATAGGAACGCAAATGCAAAACTGTTGTTGCGTAATTGTTGTTTGCGTATCTGTCGTTGGCAACGTTGGTAATGTTAATGTTAGAGTTGGCATCGTCGTCGTTGGTAGAGTTATTATTGGTGAAGGTGTTGGTCTTGTTGATTGACTTGTTAAAATTGTAGTTGGTAAAGTAGGTACAGTTGGGTTCATGGTTGTGGTCGGAGTTATCAACGTAGGTGTTGCTGTAGTAGGCACAGTTGGATTAGTCATTCGAATGAAGCAGCACACTTCAACAGAATCGGTGCATTGCCGTTTTCTAAACAAATTCAGTAAATGTAATCATTTTTTGAAAATAAGAATATATCATAGAGGAAATGAACTATTTTCTAATTGCAAAATTATTTTATCAATTTAATGCAAACTAACTGCATGATCAAAAGGACGAGAAAAAATAATTAAAAGTTGATATAACCTCGGCCCTTTTCATAAATCGCTAAATCCATAAATTTATTAAGAAATACTTTGCTCTTCTAGTGTATATATAGAGAGGACATCTAAGTATAACGGGGTACCTAAAAGGGTATCAGCGATGAATTTTTTTAGACTCAGCCCATTTAAATCTTGATAACGGATTCTTATTCTTCGTAGAAAATTCTATCCAAATCCGTTTTGTGATTAAGGTTTCTGAAAATGACATTTTCAGAAACCTTAATACATCAACTTTCGGATCGTTAAAAAAAAGTCAGGCAAAGCGGGGTATCGGTGAAAACCGGCAATAACGTCCTTTAAACACATGTGTACTACAGCCTACGACATTTTTTTCTTCATCTTAAAAAAACCTATCGATTTAAACTTCATTTAAATTTTATTAATATGAAACATTACGTTTTTATAATATATCACATATGATAACTAAATTTAAAATAATTTAAAATAATAATATTTAAAATAATAAGTTAAGAATTATTTTAAACACTTATATATTGTTATTACTATTTAATTTTTTTCGCCTATATGTATTTTTGTGTCTGGCATTGGCAAATTAATAATTACAATTAAGTGTAAATAGTTATTACTAATTTTTTTATTTCGATAAATAATTAATGATACTTGTTATTTGCAGTTATTTATAGTTATTTGCATTAATTATGTCTTAAAATAAATTTGTTTTGATAGACAAAAATACAAATAACCGTTAGTAACTGAAAAAAACTGTTATTATTTAATAACTTTAATAACAATAGTTTTTTAATAGAAAATAACTCTTTCTAATTGTTATATGTTACCAAAATCTAATATTTATAAGATTATAAATTATAAATAACTGTTGGCAAATATTACTAATTAGTGATTTCTATTTATTATAATATTATGCATAAATTATTTCCAACGAGGAACCTGATAAAAAAAAATCGCACCTTCAATGCTTGTCTCCGCGCATGGCTCTCATGTAGAAATATACTGTCCCTAACTAATGTAAAAAAGCTTTTCGATGTAATTCGTTACAGCATTTACCTCCAGTTCGAGCCATAAATCTCCCGTTTTATCAAAAAAGCCTTTGCACACCCATTACGAAATATACTAATTTTCATTCAAATGTAGCCAGCCAACAAGGTGACTTTCAAAAATTATTACTGAACGACTAATAGAAATTTCAATTATATCTGTTCCGTCTTAGTTATATATAATTTAAAATAATTAAACAACTAGCAAAAAAACTTCAGTCTAAAGGAAATCTGTCATCAGCGTAAAACATTCAATGATTATAAATCCGTAAAAAAATTAAATAACAAGATTATTCATATGAGTTAAGCTTTACTGAAGATTAGTATACTAACATTTACTAAAACATTTCTCTACGTAAAAAACTATTTTATACCAATAAAGTACCTTCATTGAAATGTGATAATTTGAGTTCGTTAACAAAAAAGTATATGTTAAAATAAATTACTTACTATTCGAAATTTGATTATGTATAGCAAATTGTAAAAAATACCCTTTTGTTTTGTTTTACCCTATTCTAAAGAAAATAATAAAATATGGAATACAAACTGTCGGAAATCGATGACTCCGCTGCCATCGGTTATGACGGTTCCATTTGAAGTACATAAATAAAATGGTACGCAAATACATCCTACAAACGGTGGAAAATGCTGAGCTTGCTTGAGTTGGTGAAGTTTATTGAGCTTTTGCTTGAGTAAGTGTAATAGGAACAAAGTCCTACCAACAGGTTGTTGTTCTAGTTCATCTTCTTTCAACTCCAGCTCAGTCTCAAGCGTATCCTCAGTTTCCAATATCACCGAATACACTCCAAACACGAACGCCAGCAGTAATAGCAACAGCCGCATCCTAACGCCAACACGAACAAAACGCGTCTGCAATGCTATGCGCGATAAAAATCTCGCTCTCACTTTTCAACGAGATTATGAAAAAAAAAGTAGTATGTTGCTCTGCCTAGCGTGTCAGCATTCAAAAACTCGTTAGTCAACTGTGCGCTCACTGGTGCTCTGGCTACAACGTTGCGCCAATGGGAAAAACATAAATTTTTGTTACATTATGGGGGAAATTCCCGATCTGCTATTGCGCGCACTCTTGTTACATCACACACGTGATTCAACGTGCGTATTGACCGATGGTAGAACGTTTTACCAGGCGATAAGTAGCTCAAATCAACGGATACCAAGGACGGACTTTCAACTTTTAGTGTGCGCGTAGTCTTTAAACGTGTGACCTACTTTTCACGGGTAACTTGTGCTCAACTAACAGGATGCGGTCATTGTGTATTTTTATAATTTTGTCACCTACACTCAACGCAATTATCTATTTCTATGATAGAAATGACTATAATTTTCTTTTATATTTTACACGAACTAATTGCAAAAGACAATCAAATCTCAAATTACTTAAATTGACGGCTCCGGCATCTTCACATTCGTTAGTACTTTAGTTTTCCTCGAAGCGCAAGCTTTGTTTTAATGAAAAAAAAAATTATCTGTAGGTAAGAAAACAATAAAGTCAGATTATTTTCATGGAATGTTTGTATGTAGCACATGCCGTATATAGATAAAGTCCCCACTTGAATTTGATGGATAAAAGCTCATTTATTGCATGAAAAGAAGATGTTTATGGCTTTAACGAGAAAGTATTTAAAAAATTCAAGTAAGTTGATTTTATTTAACTTATAAATTTGGGTTTCTCAGTCATTACTGCGTTACATATAAATATTATGATATTTAAAAATACTATCTAATAGTATTTCAATTTCTCTTTGTAAAAATTCATTTCACTGACTATTTCCAATTGATAATTACGTTAAAAGATCAATGTCTTTACCAATCATTATAAATTTTGTAAAATTTGTACTAGAATCGTATATAATTGGTAGAATGTTCAACAAACTTAAATTATTACGGCATAGTAATCTGAAAAAATTATTTTCTATAAGAAAGGACTTTTGTAGTTTTTAAGATAACTAGGATAAATTTAATTAAATCGATTCAAAATTGGTACATTTGCGTTTATTCGATTTCTTAATACGCAAGATAATGTCAATAAGATAAACTCGAAAGTACTAAAAGTAATTGATTTTGAAACATTTGAAGTCACTAACAAATATAATAACTAAAAAAGATTGAATTTTTCAATCGCAAATTATTCGAGAATAACTTGTGATTATCCATAAAAATCAAATGAATTGTACTGAATGCACTCGCATTTTTGACGATGAGTCTTGAGTTTGCTAACATTATTAATAATATAAAAAATATTGTCCAATTTTTATTACTGTCGTCGACGATTTCTTAATATAATGTACATATCATTATTAACATAGAAAAAAAGCTTAGCAGTAAGAAAAATACGTGAAAAACGCTGAGCATCAATGAATTGGCAAACTATTATTCATTGCAGTGTGAATGTGCCTTTTCTTAATATTAATTTTTCAAAATTCATTAATAAATCAACGTATTATAATTAGCATTACGCAACTATTTTCACTCTAAAGACTTATCTTGATATGAAAAAGAATTGAAAGATTACTATCAGCACGTACTGTTTGCTCACGTGCAGTGACCTAACCCGTTTTGTAATAAATTACTTGATTTTATCTTTCTAATGCATTCAACATAGAATAACTTAAGAATCCTATGTTCTGTACAGGAATATTTTGAAAAATCATACGACTAGAAGATGCCGCATACACCTATATTATGAAAAAAGTTAATACATGTGCGTCATGGTATAGTGTACATCGTGTATAGTAAGTAGATGAGAAATTAGCCAAGTTTAAATCGAATGAAAGCCGCTTCATCCGTGAGCCAATTCATCGAAGCGCAGCAGCAACAACAACAACTACAAACAAACATGCCCGAGAAGCAAAAAAGTAGCATTTACGTGCTGGCAATGTCAAAAAGGAGGGCACTTGTCGCCGAGCCATAATCCGAGGAAAAGACGTATACGATGCGCTTAAAGTGCGCAAGTAGTAGCTCGGAAACACGTAGTCGCCAGTATTTACACCTCCCCGCTGCTGCCACTGCTGGGTACGAGAGAGAACGCTAACGAAGCGCTCGGCAGTACTGCCAAGCATCGAAGATCCTTCTGTTTCTCTTAGCAATTAGACGTTCGCACGCTCTCTCTCTCTCTCTCTCTCTCTCTCTCTCTCTCTCTCTCTCTCTCTCTCTCTCTCTCTCTCTCTCTATGCTGTATATCTTCTCTTGTCGAGCGAGCAAGAGAGAGAAACACATCTTCAACCGTCAGCTGGCTTGCGCCGAAAGTAAATTTCGAATTTCCTCGGCTTGCATTTTGATGAGCCGCGAAATAGGACGCTTCTCTCGCTCGCTCACCTAACAAAGTTTCGCGCGGGAAAATTCGCCGCATGTATATGGAATAATTAGAGGCCGTGCGCGCGCGAGCTTGAGCGCGAGCGGGCGAGAGAGAGAAAGAGAGAGCTTTTTCGATTAGCGCTCTGGAAAATTGGGCGAAATGACATGAGGATTGGCTTTTTGAGGGACTTTTATAAATGCAGTTACCGCACACATCACGAAGTTTAATTTGCCACGTGTGATTTTCTCTCTTTTCTTTGCGTGCGTGTGTATGTGGTTCTCTCTTTCTCTCTCTCTCTCGGTGAATTACAATGAACACGATAAACGATTTTATTGGCGGTAGATAGATAGAGATTGATGCGCCAACGAGTAAGTGAGATATTCGATTTTCAAAGTGGATAATTGAGTTTTACTAGCGCCCAACAATTTATTAACTTTTGAATTTTCCCGCAGTGGTCAAAGTCAATTAGGCACTGGATTCCACGTTTCACGAGCA